CACTCCACCTGTGGGGCCTTGACGCCCGGCACGTGGGGGGTGCGCGGCGCGTGTCTGGGGGACCACCGCACCGGAATACCTCCGCACCCCCGTTCCTCCGCCACTGCCCTGAGATCATCTTCTGAGACCCTTCTTTGTGTGCCTCCTCCTCGAGAGCTTTGGAGGGTGGCAGCACAAGAACGGGTCTTTCCTGCAGTGGCTCCCCAACTGTGGAATGCTCTCCCCAGCAAAGTTCGCCTGGTGCCTTCATTACATACCTTTACATTTAGTTGCCACTCAAAAACGTTCCATTTTAACCAGGCTTTTGGTTGATTTGATTGACTTCCTATGCCCTTTAAAAATGTTTGTGTGTGTAGGGGGGGCTTATTGGGTTGTTGTTGTTTTTATTTTGATTATATATTTTGTGGTTTTATATTCTGATTTTATTCTGTGAACTGCCCTGAGACCTGTGGGTATAGGGGGTATGGGTATAGGGGGTATATATATATAAAATCCCAGGACAGTCTGCAACAAAAAAAATGCAAAATGAGAATAAAAAATACATATTGAAACAAAAACAAACCAATAACGCCTATCCCACAAACACATCTAAAAAGCCATAGAACATACTCTCCAACAATTCTCCAATGAAAATAGGGACATCCTATGGAAAAGAGGGACATTCCAGGATCAAATCAGAAACTGGGATGGCTTCTGAAAAACCTGGACTGTCCCTGAAAAATAGGGACACTAGGAAGGTTTGCATAGAATGTTCTACAGTATGGAGCAGGTGGAAATGAAATCCCCTCCTGCAGGCCAGTCACAGAGGAGGACAAAAAAATCCCTGCTTGGCCCCATCATGGCAACCAGCCAATTCCACCCTCCAAGCAGGGAGGGCAGGCTGGCTGATGACCAGAATACAAGGGGAAACCTTGTATTCGCTGCCACTGCTGCCTCCTCCTCTCTTGCTCTGGCATGCCACAATGAGCCTGAAAGTGGATGTGACTCTGTCCCTCCTTCTGTACCTACTGCTATGTATTGCCACCTGGGCCTTTTGAGGACTGGATGGTGGAATATTGTTTTCGTATACAGAGTGAAGATGTAGCAAAATATTCCCTGCTCCACACAGCATACAAAATGGGGGAAAATAACATGGAGCAGAGAGCCTCCAAAATATTGGGAATGTTTGGATGCAAGTTTGAATAGTTCAGAACTCCAGAACCTTGTGGTTCTGGGCCATTTGAGGCTTCACTGGTCAAAAGCAGCACTTTGAATTGGGCCCAGAGACCAACTGGCAGCCAGTGCAGCCAGACCAGGATTGGGGTCATATGCTCAAAGCGTCTTGCCCTTGTAAGCAACCTGGCCGCCAAATTCTGAACCAGCTGAAGTTTCAGAACCATATTCAGATGTCTTTTTAGATGCTAAGCGTCTTTTTAGATATTAATACGCATGCTGGAGGATCTCACATTGGATTGGATCCAATGAATACCTTGTGCACGTGAAAGGTATTTTCATTCGCCCAAGCATGATGCCCTTTATTTTTGGCCAGCTCCCTACAGCTGTGGCACCCATATCCACCTCCTTCACAGTCCTACAGTCCCCGGGAATGACTTTCTAGAGGTACAGTGGGGAAGGATGGAAAGTTCCACTCTTGTAATGGAACTTCACTTGTGGTTCCTAAGATTCAACCCATAACAAACAAGCATGCATAATGTATGACCACCTTTTGTCACACAAAAGCAACCCAACCCAACTTGCAGTTTATATCTTAATTTGGTAGTATTTCCATACTTCTTTCCCCCCTTAAGGTACTGTTTTCCTCTATTGCATGCTTGGCCTTGCTGGCAGTGCAAAGTGTTTTTGCAGCTTGGCTACCGTTTTGTATCCCGGACCACAACCCACACCTATTTTCCTTCTGGGATACCATGCTGTGGGGAGTGGGACCATCTGCAACCCAAATATGGTGGATAGTATTCAGAAACAATTCTGGAAAGTGACCTTCTTTTGCTAAGAGGTTTAAGAAAAAGAAAAATCCCAGTTTCCAAACCCCAGAAAACTGTTTTTTGAGAAATTTCAGCTCGGCTTTACTTTTAATTTTTGATAGCAGAGATATAGCATTTTTGATATGAGATTCAAAACACTACTAACTCTTTACCAGCGGAAGTTGAGGGACTGCCTTAAGCAACTCTGTATGTTCCATCTCAAAAACATCATCAAAAGTCTCTGTGTTACTTTCCACTTTCCTCTCTGCTGCAGAACAACTTGGCACAGGGTGGCACCTGTGTGTTTTCCGATGGGACATGATTACCATTTTTCTCTCATGAAAAATACATATTTATAGAGCAGTTCAGAGAGCAAATAAGACACCATTGGCAGGTGAGGCAAGGGAGCACCTCATGACAGCAGAAAGAACCCAGTTTTTGGAGGATGTTTCATTAAAAGATTGCATTTCAGATTTTAGTACTGGAGTCCAACAGAGTTCCCAATTTCCATCACGTCCCCAGTTGTAGGTCCCCACCCCATGTCACATTCTCGGCAGTGAGAGATTATTGGGAATGTCTTTTTGCAGGGTGCACAGTGCTGCAGGAGGTAGGGATTGAGGAAAAGTCTATCCAATCTGCATTTCAAAGTGGACTGGCCTGATCTGATCCTTCCAAACTTGCAAAAACTTCTATTTGGATTGTACACTTTGTTGGATTTTGCTGTGCATTCCCAGTGCACAAATGGTTTGCACAAAAATATTACTTTATGTAAAAGTGCATACAAAGTGCATATTTTGCCAGTGAATGCACCGAAAAGCCTTGGCAATGGTGTGTTTTATGTACAAAATGAGAGCAATGGGGCAGGATGGAATAAGACCCAATGGGATGGGCCTGAGCTATGCATTCAGTGAGTGAAACAGGACATAATTCAGCCGTCCAGTCCATCCCTAGGAGAAGGAGGGGGAGAGCCCCATTGCATAGTGGTTCTCCATTCACGCATCTCTGGACCCAACCAATAATTTTGGTAAAATGACTCTAAATTGAGCTAAAAATGCTTATGTCACAAGGAAGCTGTTCAACTAGGAGCCAGAGCACAGAGAGCCAGTTAGGAAGAGCTGCGGCATTAGGAACATCCAGGTAGTAAATCTGAGGTTTTGCAGCTGACCCAGTAGGACCCAGCAAGCTTAGTGGCAGCTTCTTCCACTCAAGTAGGACTCACAGATGGAACAGCTGATGTTGTGAGATATGTGCTGTGTCTTCAAGTCCAGGTTTCAGCTTGGATTCAGGCTGGCTCTGCTGCCCAAGTCCCGGGGTTGGCAGGAGGGGTTCTGGATCTTGGGGTAGGGTGTTGTGTTGGGCTGCACTGGATTCTCTGCAAGCTTTCCAGGTGGGGTGTCTGTTGGATTGGCTTCTCCCAAGGAAATGTGTGCATGTTTGTGAAGCACTCCTTGGAATAATTCCTACTTTAACATCAGAGATCTGAAAGCCTGAACACGATGACCCCAATTTGATGCTGTATGCATGAGGCTGCTGGGCAAGAGAGGATCTCTTCTGACAAATAGATGGTTCTGCTGTCAATGTTGACAGCCCTGATTACCTTTTGGCAGAAGGAGGGAAAAGGTTTTCTGCAATCAGCTCGCCTCTCCCTGCAAATAGGCCATGATTGCAGTCAGAACTGAAAATGCCACTGAACTGGAGGGGATGCAACCAGCACTTCCCCCCCCCCCAGTTCTGCAGAACAGCCCTTCTCAGACTTGCGTGCAGATAAAATAAGCCATGAAACACGCCCCATGTGCAACACACATGTTAAAAGTCAACTAGGGTTGTGACAAATGTTTTATTGGTTTGGGTTTCCTGTCAAAATTATTGTAAAGGGGAATTGAAATGTTTTCCCGAGCAGAGCTTTAAATCAGGGGTGCCAGATCTATTCCTTTTTTGTGTGTGCCAACCTGCCAACCCTCTGGTTCTGCTAGCAGTGTGGTGGGAGCCATGGGAGGTAATGCAAGCTGCAGTATCACTACTTCTGGGCACTCTACCAGGGAGAACTGCCCCCTTTGGTGCAATCAGACATGGTGGAGAGAGTACTTCTGTTGGTTAACAAACCAAGATATCAAAGCTCAGTTTGCCAGCAAGTGAGAGGATTGGACCAGCAAGATTGAATGTTGACATACTGGCTAGTTAACTAACTGATTTGAACAAGCCATTGTTTGCTGTGTTTGGATGCAACAACAAACACTGTTTAATGCTAACCGTGAAAGGGAGCTTTGAGTCACCTTCCCTTGCATGCAGTGAGGAGCAGAATGAGCTTTTGCCCATTCATTCACAGACAGCGCAACATTAGGCACCTGCTGCTGGTGATGAGCCCCTTGTCAATCCCTCCTCTTCCGTGATCTATGATCTATGCTCCATGATCCATGTCTTGCAGATTCTCAAAGCCTAAATAGTGCAAATCTTTGCTGCCATTATACTTATTTTCTGCAGCTATTTTGCTCCTAGTTTCCTCCCTAGAACTCATGGACATCCAATGAAGCTGAACGTTGGAAGATTTGGGACAGATAAAAGAAAGTACTTTCTAATGTAGCACATAGGTAAACGATGGAGCTTGGTCCTCAGGAGGCAGCGATGGCCACAAACTTTGATGGCTTTAAAAGAGGATTAGACAAATTCATGGAGGAGAGGGTGATTAATGGCTACTAGCCAGAATGGCTATTCTGTGCCTCCAGTGCTGGAGGCTCTATGCCTTTGAATATCAGTTGCTGGAAAAGACATGAGGGGGTTGTGCTCTTGTGTTCAAATCCTGCTTGCTGGTTTCCCACATACATCTGGTTGGCCACGGTGAGAACAGGACACAGGACTAGATGAGCCATTGGCAGGCTCTTCTTATATTCACTGCATCTTCTTCCTTGACTGGTCACCATATAGACAATCTCAGCCAATAAGGGATCAGATAGTAAATAGGATGACTTCACACAGGGCCGTCTTAAGCATATCCGGCGCCGTGGTGCAAATATCTCTCCGGTGCCCCCCCCCCCAATTTCCCAGAGTTGTTGACCTTTTTTAAGGGGAGGGACTTCGGTCCGGCTCATTTGCATCGCGTGGTCCGACAAGAGCTGCACGTAAGTAAGAGGCGCCCGGATCGCAGCCCAGGCGGCCTCCCGTGAAGCCTCCCTCTAAGCGCCCAGCACCCCTTACCTGCCCCATCCGGGGAAGTCCACACGACAGGAGGGCCAGCAAGCAGATCAGGTGGCTCGCCGGCTGTCCCACCCTTGCTCGGTGCCGGGATTGCGCAGGGCGCTTCCCTGCTCCGCTCGCAGACTCCGCAGGGAGGTGCGCAGGCAGCGATGCGGCCAGAGATGGTCGGGACAGCCACGCCCGCCCCACCCGTGCCCGCCCCCGATTGCACCCGCCAGGCACCCAGGCAGCCCCAGCGGGAGGGGATGCAAAGGGGCTTCCCTGAGCTGGACACAGCGCGCTCTGATGGGCAGCTGAGAGGAGGGGACTGGGCTGCCCCAGAGCGGGGAAGGGAGCGCGCCCTGCCTCTCCTTCCCAGACCCTCAGCCTGTGGCGCCCTCCAAAATCTGGCGCCCTGGTGCCCCACACCACTAATGTCTATGGGTAAGACCCATGTGGCAGGTGATGCCCCTGGAAGTAAGTGAACCCAATTTAGGAAGCAACAGCCTCACTCCAAGAAGATAAGCTCTTTAATCTTCCTAAAGAAAGAAGACAGGTGATCACAAGTTGCTAATAGAATCATAGAGTTGGAAGGGATCCCCAAGGATCATCTAGTCCAACCCCCTGGAATGCAGGAATCAATGTCTCATCTAGTTACAGCAACAGAAACTCAGTTCACACCAATCTAATATATTATATTTCCTAAGTTTATTGTTCTAGCCAAAGGCCATGACAAACTTGTAGCAATAGTATTAATCTCACATAGGGAGGTTAAACTTTTCCTGGACTCAACCACTGGTGACTATAGATTGGAGCTTTTATGCATGAATGTTTTTCTGCGCACAGAAAGCTGACACCTCAGGGAGAAGGCTCACCTAGACACCTCCCACATGAAATCTTGCTTTCTGTGTGCACAGTTTTATTCAATGTTACTTTGGAGAAATGTTTTGTTATACAATCCTCTACGCCCAGTGATATGTGATACCACCTGGGAGTAGGTTTCCATCCCAATCTGCTGTCTTGTGGGCTACACAAGAGAAAATATAGAATTCATCTCATTATCTTCTCTTGTTGGGAGCTGCTGAATCTGTGCAGTGAAGAATTCCACTAAATTTGTCCTCCTTCTCAGGATACTCTTTGGTACATGCACAACAGTACTTAACTACTTAACTGCCACTGAGTTCCTGTGAGTGAGCCAGGAGGCGAGACCAATGTAGAGAGTGTGCCCTAGAACATGACACAGAGCCTTCTGCACTGGACTGAAGATTTGTAGCAGAACTGCTCAAGGGTCCTCAGCAGATGAAAGTGAAATGTACCCTATTACAGTCATACCTTGGGTTACGAACGCTGCGGGTTGAGCGTTTTTGGGTTGCGGACCGCACCAAACCTGGAAGTAGTGGAATGGGTTACTTCCAGGTTTCGGCGCTTGCACACACGCAGAAGTGCAAAATGGCGTAATGTGCATGCACAGAAGTGCCGAATCGCGTCACACGCGTGCGCAGACGCAGCACTGCAGGTTGCGAACGCTGCGGGTTGTGAACCTGCCTCCCGCACGGATCACTTCGCAACCCAAGGTTTGACTGTAAATGTTTAGTCTTTCTACAAGTGCAAATAACAGGCTATGTTTGGGGAAGAGGAGACAATGAATAGCTTTCAGGACTGTAGGGATGGGAAAGTTTAACCCTTCCCACTCAATTTCTGTTGCAATTGTAGCAAAACTGATCCCCAGCTGAATTTGCACTGGGTGGGAAATTTTCCAATGCAGATAACAGCTTCAGGGAGAGATTTGTCAAGATCACAGTAGGTGGAAGGGAAAGAATGAAAATCATCTCCCCACTCCTGCTGCCCCAAGCCTGATAAGCCACACACACACACATCAGGGCTTTCATTTACATGAAAAATTGAACACATCACTTTAGTGTTGTGCAGTTTGGGTCTGAGTCAGTGAAGGGAGGGGTTCCCTCAAGGCAGAAAATTTAGAAACCACTGATCTATAGAATCAGAGCTCAGCTGATATTCGTTGCATCATTAGATTGATTGGTTAATATCATTGTAAGAGTTACAATGGGGGAAGTGAAAAAATGTGAAGACAATTTTTTTTAAAAGTAGCTGTAACAAATGAACTCTGTTGGCTAAAGCTGTGTTGGTTTTCTCAGTAATTATTTTGCTACTTAATCAAGTAAGCAGTGAATTAATCGATTGAGGACAGAATAATTATTTTTGCAGTACTTTGTAGTCCTGGGAAGATCTAATTAGGGTTGTTCTTTTAATGCATAAATTCCAAAAGGTTCCTATTTTTTAGAATAGTTGTCCCTGTGTTGTTGGTTTTTTTTAAACTGTTCCTAATTCACCCCATATTGCTTTTGGAAGAGATGTTTTGGGTATTTCTATATAACGCTGGGTAGTGCCTGATGATGAAGGGTTGAGGGAGTTGGGTATGTTTAGCCTTGAAAAGAGGATCCTGGGAGGAGTTAGGATAGACAACGAGCTTCAGATACCTAAAGGGCTGCCACATGGAGGAGGGAGCAAACTTGTTTTCTCCTGTTCTGGAAGTTAGGACCGAAACCAATGGCTTGCTTCATTGGAAAGGAGATTCTTAATGCTTAACGCCTGGAAGAACTTTCTGACAGTAAGAGCTGTTTGAGAGTGGAACAGTTTTCCTCAGAAGGTGGTGGACTCTCCTTTATTTGAGGTTTTTAAACAGAGGTTGGGTAGCCATCTGTCATAGATGCTATAGCTGAGATCCGTGCATTGCAGGGGGTTGGGCTAGATGACCCTCAGGTTCCCTTCCAATTCTATGATGAGGCCTGGGCTGTGGGCAGCAATCTGGGAGAATGCCAGGAGCTGGGGAGCCAGAATCTAAGGGCAATCAGTAACCTTGGAGGCAAAACCAGGAGGACAACTAGAAATGCTAAACCCAATAGAGCTCAGCTACTCCTTATGCTCAGACCAGGCACTGCCACTGCCCCTCCCTTTTCTGGAAGGAGAGGAGGGAGACTGACCTGGCTTGTCACATGGACCATTTTGTCCAGTAAGGAAAGGGTAGAGTCCAAGCTTTCTAAGTCGGCTTCAACCCACACTATTCCCTCTTCTATCACCAGCCGTGGCCTCTTCATGGGGAATTTTGTGGGTGCTCAGGCACCCAGGGCCCCAGGGAGTTGGTGCCTAAGATTGAAGTATAAGGCTGCACCTTACCGCTTACCTGGGAGTAAGCTCCACTGAATACAGTGGGAGTTACTTCTGAGTAGGCAGTGTAAGTCTCCATTTACAATGAAGGAATAAACACTTCACGTGCTTCCTAAGAAATGGCTGGCTGCAGAAGAATTGCCATTAAAAATATAAAGTGGATTGGTGACCTTTTCCTACATAATTATAGGTAGGACTTCACCATTTCCTTCATTTGGTGCTGGGATTTTATTTTCAGCTTAAACAGGACTCTGTTTTTACACCTAAACACACAAAATCACACACCACTTGTTCTCCAAGAGGTGGAGGAGAGGGAAAAAGGAAAACCAGGAAATTCCAGGATCAAATCAGAAACCAGGATGGCTTCTGTGATTCCAGGACTGTCCCTGGAAAATCAAAACACTGGGAGGTGTAACCATATTTGCTGGACTGATTTCACCAAGGGGTGAATAAGCAAACACTCGCCATTTCCATCCCTCTTACACCAGACCTGTTTTTAAGATATTTTGCCTTGGGAAGGGGCTGACTGAATGAACTAGCTCCCTCCAGCTATCGGCACTGTGCAGTGTGGGGAGGAAAAATCAACTCCATCCGATGAGTCTGAAGCTGTTCTTGGCCTTCTTGCCTGTGATCAGGGCAGAAGGCTGGGAGTGAACAAGTCCACGGTCAGATGCGGCTGCTGCATCCCATCGGTGACTTCCAAGGTGATTGTGGTCAACACAAGGAAGAAAACAAACAGGGAAGAACTCAAAATGCACCGGGATCTCTTGGACTATGTGGATCTATCACTCGTGACATCCTTCATTCTGTTGGAATTCGCCATCTGAACCAACCCTGAGATTCTTCTAGTAGCCTGCAGTGCCTCTGATTTCCATAGGTCAGCATGTGGTGTCAATGCAGGGAAGCCAGGGAAGCTCGTTCCTCCTTTATGACCTGACAGCTGCAAGCAAGTTCCTGAATGAATGGAGAGAAAGCAGCCTGAAGACTTGGATGTTCTGGAATGCTTTCAAGAGAGACTTCCGGCATGGCAGTAACGATATATTAACGGTGCCTTCTGGAATGGCTTTGTAGCTGGGAGGGCTTCCATCCCACCCTTGCAGCCTTGCAGAGGGCTGGAAGAAACAACAGAAGACACTTCAACAAGAGTGGTGGGGAGACTCAGAGCAAATGAGCTGCACTGGCAGCAGCAGAAGGGGGGAAGGGGGAAGAAAGGAGACCTTAATCGAAGGAGAGAAGCAGGAGGAGGGTGGGGCTGTTTTGCCTAGAATATGTTAGTTTCCAACAGTTATCAGATTCCACTCCCCCGATTTCTGTCATTAGCTGAGGTTTTCACAACCTGAGGTGAGAAGTCACCAAAGGAGCTGTTGTCCTGCTCTGTGACAAAGCAAAGCCAGGCCAGACCAAACTCAAGCTGAGTGCAGGGCAAGGTTTCAGTCTGGACATCCTGAAGCAAGACAAGTTTGGGAAGGATTCAGGCTGAATGCAAGGCTCAGGGTGTGCCCTAAGTAGGCACATTTCCCCTGCCGTTTTTTTCTTCCCCTTCATGTAATCAGCCACAGAAGATGATGGTGATACAGCTTGAATTGAGCCCACTCTTCCTCTAGACCGGGGCGGGGGGACGGGACGGGGACCTGTGGTGAACCAGGTGTTCCTAAATTCCAGATCCCATCATCCCTGAGCATTGGCCCTGCTGGCTGAGGTTGATGGGAGCCCAGCAAGACAGGGAGGGTTGCTGGTCTCCATCCTAAGCTTAGAATTAGCTCCCTCTTGCCTTCCTTTATAGGGGCGCAGTTGGCGCTGTGGTCTAAACCACTGAACCTTGGGCTTGCTGATCAAGAGGTCGGCAGTTTGAATCCCCATGACGGGGTTAGCTCCTGCCAACCTAGCAGTTCAAAAGCATGCCAAAAAGGCAAATATATTAATAGGTACCACTCCGGTAAACGTCACTTCTGTGCGCTGCTCTGGTTTCGCCAGAAGCAGCTTAGTCATGCTGGCCACATGACCCAGAAAAACTGTCTGTGGAGCAGACAAATGCTGGCTCCCTCGGCCTGTAAAGCGAGATGAGCGCCGCAACCCCAGAGTCATTTTGCAACTGGACTTAACTGTCAGGGGTCCCTTTACCTTGCCTTCCTTTATTTCCCTGCAGTTCTCTCATTCACTTTCTTCTTTCATCTTCCCTTCCTTCCCTGCAGGCTATGCCAGAGTCACATGGCTGTGATAAATGAGCTTAATCGGCACAGAAAATTAATCACATTGTCATGCTGACAGAGGGAGAAGCAGCTGCATGAAATGCCTGGATCCCTGGCAAATTTATCACCATGGCTAGAGACTGGCCACTCCCAAATTAACACTTCTCCTGCCATTTTTCTCAGCTCTGGGCATGCCATGTGCCGCCAATAGATGAAAATGGAGCATGCAAGGAACATAGACAGAGTCATCTGTGGCTTCAATTGTGGGTTCCCAACCTTCTCCCAGGTTGTTGTTTTGTACAGTGGCTAAGAAATGGAACCCATGGCAGAGCATGGTAGCTGGGCTTATTGACTTCTATGACAAATGAACACCCTGCCTTTCCCCTGTATTAGCACACTAGTTGGCTTACAAAAGCACTAAAGATAATGTTGAAATGCAGTAGCAACAATAAATATTATTTTATTTGACACCTTCACAGTGGTGGAGAATTGCAGCCAAAGGCTGGGAAGCCTTTCGACTTCTTCATCTGGCCTTGGGGACATTCCCCATAACATGCTGCTCAGCACTCCTTGCCTGCTCCCTCCTTGAGCACTTTTGCCTGGCAGGAATGTGACCTTGAACCGACATAAACCAGCCCACAGTGGAGAGAACCTACAGTGGCTGTGCAGAAATCTCCGTCGTTGGCATATCTGGAATGTAGGCAGTTGGACAAAGGGAAGAGCTGTATCTAGTGTGTGTCTTGTCTTGTGGCAGTGAATTTCCAGAGTTCTAGTATCTCCCAAGGAGCTTCCCCAGGCTCTGAGTCCTGCAGTGTATCTGACATTAACCAGCTCATCCTGAGGACTTGAGTTTTCCATAGAAGTGACAGTGTGTTGTCAGTACTAGCTACTACAGAATGGCACAAGGCATGTGCATGTGGGCAAAATGGTTAAGTACAGTCATACTTCAAGTGACATGAAAGAGATCGTTGTGGATGGCTCCCTGAAAACATCCGTGCAGCACATGGTATCCTATTGAGCATAAAATGCAAGCTAAATGAGAAAAGAGCTGACAAGCCAAATTTTCCTTTCAGGTCTAGTTTTGTGTTTTTAAAACATGAAGAGGTCAGCATCTGAAGTAATTAATATTATTTGAATATTTAACCAGTCTTGCTGCTCTATCTATATATCAGCTTTATCTTCTTTGCCATCCTGCCCAAGAAGACCTTCAAAGCTGTTCAGGCTGGGGATGTGGCCAAGACTCATACTTTTGCTGTAGGAAAGCAAGTCTCAGGGGCTTCTAATACTCACCTGGATTCTTCTCTGGCTCAGAAATCGAATTGCATTGGCTCAACAATAAGCCCAGCTATTCTCTGTTTTTGAGTGGAAATAGCATGACTTATTCTGAGCCAGGAACAGATGACTCTGTGTTCTCAGTCCATGTCACATCTGCATGTTTTTACCCATAATTCAGTTTCCATCTGCTTTTGCATCAATCTGTTATTTTTTAAAAGTGTTGAAATGTTATTTTCTCTCAAAATATGTATTTAAAGATGTACTTTGATACATGTTGAGAAGCATGTCACAATTCTGGAGGAAGTGCAGAATTCGTTGGATAGCTGAGGGGAAAGGGAGGGATCCGGGATACACATCGTGGTCAGAGCAACATCTGTTCCTGCAACAAAATTTACTCTTGCTCCCGGCCTTCTGCATTCCCCACCACCATGTGCACACACAGCTCTACACTGGAGTCTTCCTCAACCCCTTGGACCAAATTTTGAGGTGTGTCATTGAGGACCAAATTTTGAGGCATGTCTTTGAGGAGCAGGGTGGTGTGTGAGGGCAAGCTCCACTTCACCAGTGGAAGGCATTCTTCTGGCACAATGACTTTTCTGGACTCAGTCCTAAATTCCAAACCTCACTTTATTCTGAGAGGTCAAGATTACGTAATATTGTATAGGAATCAGAAGGAATGGATCACTAGCTCAAGCAGTTCAAGGCTGCTATGTACTGGTGAGTCTGTTGGTCCCTCAAGGGGATCAGGTAGCTTCCTGGTTCACAGCACCACCAGACATGCTGTGTGGATCGGGGCAAGGAATGCAGGCTGAAAACCCTCAGCCCCAGCCAAACTGCTGCTCAAGGGTGTGCTGGTCCTACCATTAGGCCGAGGGAGGCATCTGCCTCAGGTGGCAAATGTGGTCATGGAGGACATGGAGCTCTGTGTGCCATGTGACCTGCCTGGCTAAGCTCATCTGCTGCTGGTCTCTACTCCATTGGGGGGCCTTGCTCACATTGCCAGGACTGAATAAAGTTTCAGCAGCCAATACGGTCTATTTCTGCATATGCATTTTTTTTGCTTATGAATTTGTGGGGGCAGCAAGGGGTGGGAGACTCTTGCTTTTCACATAAGCCAGCCTTGATCCTTGTCAAGCTGCTAGCTTGACTATCCTACCAAGGATGTGGTAATTTATTTGCAGCCTAAGGGCCACCTTCCTTTCTAAAGCAAGCTTTTAAGGGCCACATGCCAGTGTTGGATGGAGCCAGGAGCAAAAATCCCCCTCTCTCCCCTCCATCTAGGCAAGCAAGAAGCACCATCCTAGTGAGACAAAAATACTCAAGGAGAGTGCATGGCAAGACAAATCTAGGCAAGCAAGAAGCACCATCCACGTCCTAGTGAGACAAAAATACTCAAGGAGAGTGCATGGCAAGACTGAGGAGGGGTGTGTGGCCCAGGGAGTTCTGAGGGCCAGACAGAAAGGGCTGGGGGCTTTGCATTTGGCCCCTGAGCCAGGAGTTCCCCATCCCTGCCCTGTTGAAATGAAATTCTGCCCATGAGTCCTTGGTTGGAGCAACTGTTTTGCAGTTAATTGCTGCTTGACATTCTAACCTTTACATCCCAGCATTTACCTTTCCTCACCTCTGTGGCCCCAGTTCTTTTGAAGGTTCTTCAATGTGCTGAAGATCTCCCTGCTGTGCTTCATTCAGAAATGCTTTTGCATGTGGGGCATGCAGTCCCATGCTTTGCAATTAAGAGTGGCTGCAGTCAATCTTGAGTGCAGGGAAGTGAGGTTCATAAGCATCAAGATTTATTGGCTCCTTAGCAGCCTGCCCACTTGTTACAATTTATACAGGTAATTACGTGTTCACTAGTATGCACAGTCCTTGCTGTGAAGGTTACAGAAAAAATCCTGACTTGGCTTATTTATTGCTTCTGTGTCAAAGCTTGCACCCAAGCAGAAGCCTTGGCTTTGCAGTGATCTCATGTTTCTGCATTTTCTCCATCTTATAACATCTTACAGGCTCTGTCGTACTATGTCATATTACTGGGACTGATCCAAAATGGAAAGGGGGGTTGCTTTTCCCAAACATCCCTCCCTCTGCTCTGAAAAGCATCCCCCTCTTCTGGTGATCATTGAGGCAGGGATTTGAGAAAGGTGTGAAAATGTTCCTTGCCTGCCTTGCGAGAACAGGGCCATTGCCTAGCAACAGGGCTGTTCCCTCTCCTCCCTGCACTCATTTAGAATGACTTTAATAGTGGTCATAAAACATTAGCTCCCATAAGCCTTCAGTGGCATAATCATGCCAGCAAATCTGGTTGGCTGCATGCTGCTGTGACATCAGTCTGCTCCTCGTAGAATCCCTGACTGGCTGGGACACCCTGAGGAAGCAGTGAGTATGGACCAGGGGCGGGGAAGGAGGAGCTGGGGTGATTAATATGGCTCATGGGGTTTGGGGAAAGGCATTTGTGCCTTCTGGAAGCCTCCCCCTTAAAAACAACAACCCAGAACTGTGCACACATTGCACATGCAATGCCTGGAAATCATCAGCAACAGCAAAAATGGGCAGGGTGCTGGTGTTGTGGTGCCACTTCATCAATCAGACCAGGTAATTCGGAACCCCAGAATCCATGAAGAAAATTGCGTCAGGAGAAGGCTCCTCCTACCCCAGTTTCCTCCTCCAGATCAGAAAGCAGGCCCAGTTAGAAAGACCACAGAGGGAAGCTGCAACCCAGCATCCAGTTTTCTGGGAGCAAATCCCATTGGACTATGGGGGTTACTTTTGAGTAGACTTCTGCAGGATTGCACTGCTTAGCCTGGAGGAGAGAAGGTGCTGGATGAGTCCAACTCAGGATATTCTTTCCACAGTAATCACTGCATCGCCCACTGCGTGACTCTTTTGGTTAAGGCAGGAGCACATTAGCCTGGCTTTTCTTGAATATGTGATTGGGCTGCGCCAACTGAAAGTGAAATGATTCCCCTAAAACTTATTTTACTTTAAAGAAAGCTAGCCAATCAGTGCTACTCCCTTTTTTCAGACAGTGATTTCTTTATTTTGTTGAATCAAATAGCATTGAAGCATCAGAGCCCCCCTTGCTCTCTCAACTGGCATAGTCTTGATACAGGATCATCACCACAGTCACATCTAGGCCCAAATCCAGCAGATCTCTTCCCTGAAGAGCATTTTCCCAGTTGGCAGGAAATGATGGAAATTTGAAGGAAGAGGTGGCATAAGTAGAACAAACAAGTACCATAAAATGTTTTTAACACACCAAATAAAAGTGTGTCATCTCATCCATCCTGCCATGTTCCCCCGCACCTGTTCATTTAATTTGCTGAGTACATAAATTCCACAGCACCCTGAAAGAGGTGTGTGTGTGTGTGTGTGTGTGTCTGTCTGTGTGTGGTGGATTGGGGGTGAGAGAAACTCGGCTTCTAGACTCTGCAGAGTCCTGGGAGAACACTAATTAAAACAGGAGAACGGGGACCACCAAATTAATTCTGACTGAGGCCTCTAGTGGGCCATGCTCTGTGTGCATGCTTGTTAAATAAACCCTCCATACATTCCCTCTGTGGGGTGTCTTTTCAAACTGGATGCAGGTGCTTTTGAGCACCTGATGGTAAGCCTCACAGTTGTTTGGAAAAAGCTTGCAGGAATATTAACAAACTGAATTGCTGTCTTATCTCATACAGTATTGCTTGGAATCTTGGCACAATTATCATTACAGTATTGACGTTATCATATTTATTTATACCCCGCCTTTCCCCCAGACCAGGACTTCAGGTGGCTTACACATATGTTGAAAAATTGAGAAAATATTAGGGCTGCCATAAGTCTCGACTTTCCTGGACATTATCAGGATTTCAAAGGCAGAATTGACATCCAGGGTGAATTTCCGAAAGGTGGCGCTTCATCCTGGATCTTAGGCAAGGCAAGTTTGATCCATCTTTTAGATTTAGGGGAGCTAGTCTCAAATGTTTGTTGGGGGAGACCTAGGTTTTTTTGGGGGGGGGTTATTTGTCCTGTCTTCACGCTTTTTAAGATGGAGGACCACTGTAGCCACCCCCAACGACACGTTCTCAAGATGGAGGGTGAGGGAACAGCTGCAGTCGCCTGCGGTTCCTGCGCAATGTTTGCCATCTTGCCAAAGGTTGCAGGCAGCTTTACCTGCAGCAATTGTATGTTGATTGCCCTCTTAGAAGACAAAGTCCAGCAACTGAAGGAACATGTAGCTACGCTCCAAAGAATTAGAGAGCTGGAGCTCTTATTGGAAGCAACAGAGAACACCGTCTCCACCAAGGAGGAGACAGGGGACACCCCTGAGAAGGAGGCTAGTTCACCAACACAGGTGCCAGATATATGGAGAAACGTGACTCAAAGAAGTAGGAGGCCCAGGGTTCGCTCTGATTGTTTAGAAATACACAATTGCTTTGAAGTCCTCTCCCCTAGCATGGAAGACGAAGAACAGACTCCATTTGAGGATCTCTCCCTCATTACAGTCGATCAGGTATATGAAGACGAGCAGCAAAGTCAGTCCTCAGGGAATGTGCAGGCGACCTTGGAACGGACAGCTCACGGAAGAACCCCGACCAAACCTAAGAGGAGGCGTGTAGTGGCGATAGGGGATTCCCTACTGAGGGGAACAGAAGCAGTGATCTGTGGGCCTGACATGATGTCTCGGGAGGTGTGCTGTCTCCCCGGGGCTAAGATCCAAGATGTACTGTATTTTCCCCTCTATAACACGCAGATTTTTTCTCCTAAAAAGGAAGGGGAAATGTCTGTGTGTGTTATTGAGCGAATGTGTGGTCCCTGGAGCCAAATGGGAGTGTGCAGGGAGGGGAGGCAAAAAAAATCAGGCAAAAATCAAATTGCGTGTCTCGGAGAAGGGAAACCTGAAAAGAGGAAGCAGCTGCTTTCCTGCATTCTGCCTCAGGGTCTTACTGCCCACCCTCCTCTGTTTCCTTGCTGTGTTTGCTCAAATGGAACAAAGAGCAGGGAAAGCCCCTCCCCTCCAGGCAAGCAGAGGGGAAAGCAGAGTGTCGTCTCTGTGCTCCGTGCTGCTGAAAACATGCAGGGGAGAGAGAGAGAGAGAGAGAGAGAGAGAGAGAGAGAGAGAGAGCTGGCTGGCTTGGGTGGGTAGGTGAGGGAAAACTTTTGCCTTCCTTTCCTCCCTCCCATTATACCCCTCTCCTGCATTCTTAGCCAGCTGCTTCTCTGCACACCCCTCTCCTGCTCCTTGTCCCTTCTGTGTTTTTCCTTCCCTCCCCACTTAAAATGTGGTTAAAAAGCATGGATCCACATGGATCCTCAGGATCTTTGCATTGGGTCACCCCAAATTCACCATCAGAGCACATAGCATGTCCATGGCTACAGCCTGCCCCCCAAAAATCACGCACCCACTGTTGCCTGGGGCTGCAATGGTGCAAAAATGCGGTTACAAAGCATGGGTCTACATGGATCCTCAGGATCTTTGCATTGGGTCACCCCAAATTCACCATCAGATCACATAGCATGTCCATGGCTACAGCCTGCCGCCCAAAAATCACGCACCCACTGTTGCCTGGGGCTGCAATGGTGCAAAAACGTGGTTACAAAACATGGATCCACATGGATCCTCAGGATCTTTGCATTGGGTCACCCCAAATTCACCATCAGATCACATAGCATGTCCATGGCTACAGCCTGCCCCCCCAAAATCACGCACCCACTGTTGCCTGGGGCTGCAATGGTGCAAAAACGTGGTTACAAAGCATGGATCCACAGGGATTCTCAGGATTTTTGCACTGGGTCACCCCAAATTCAGCATCAGATCACATGTCTGTGGCCACAGCATGAAGCACAAAAATGATACATCCACTGTTTCATTCAGAATGTTTTTTCCCTTGTTTTCCTCCTCTAAAAACGATGTGCGTGTTATGGTCAGGTGCGTGTTATAGAGCGAAAAATACGGTAACCGAATGACTGCAAGGAATCATAAAACCCACTGACAAATACCCCTTCCTCTTGGTTCATGTGGGAACCAATGACACTGCAAGCAATAGCCTCCAG